TTGAAACAAAGATTATTCTTTATAACAAATTGTAGATAAATCTGGAATTGTAGCTTTTTGTTTGTTTTTTTGTGTAGCGCTTTCTGCTCCTTCCTATCTGTTGTGGACTTATTTGCTTGTAGGTACAAAGATAGAAATCTAGAGCACAAATAAATAACCCCTGGTCTCGCCAGCTGACGCGCGTGTGCATGCACGCACACACACACACACACACACACACACACACACACACACACACACAAAGCTAGGATTCTGAACCCCACATCTGCCTCAGAAAGGAGTTTGCATGAGCCTACAGTTTGTCAGTGGGCTTCCATAGCTACCAGACGCCCCCCTTCCCTCCCCTCTCATCTCACCTCCCTTTCCCTCCCTTCCCATCTCTCCTTTCTTTTTTTTTCTCTCTTTTAATTTTAATTTTGGAATTGTGGGGGTACAATTCAGGGTTAGGTATGCAAATGTTCCTTGTGCAGGTGCCCTTATTGATGAGGTGTGCCTCCCTCCCCCAGATGGATCTCGACGACTGTCAATCCCACCTCCCCATCCTCCACACCGCCCCCCCACAGTTTCCTGCTCCTGTCAATCCTTTTCTTATAGTTATTCAGTAGTTGTTCAAGGTCCACTTATGAGTGAGAGCATATGGTACCCAGCTCTTTGTGTCTGTGAGAGATCACGCAGTATTAGAGACTCTAAGTCCATCCAGGTTGCTGCGAAGTTCATGATTTTGTTCTTCTTTATGGCTGCATGATATTCCATTGTATATATGTGCCACATTTTTTTTTATCCAGTCCTCTTTTGTTGGACAGCATGATTGGTTCCGTGTCGATTTCCTAAAAGTTCTAAAAATCGACGTTCCATATGACCCCGCAATTGCCCTACTGGGAATATACCCGGAAGAACTCAGGTCACCCCATCAAAAAGATACCTGCACACGTATGTTTACCCTCTCTCCTTTCTCTCCCCCATCTCCTCCCTTTCCTTCGCCTCCCGTTTTCTCCCCTCCTGTCTGTCTCTCCCAATCCCTCCCCCATGTCTCCCCCTTTGCCATCCCCTCCCATTGTCTCCCCCCCTTTCCTTCCCATCGCATCTCTCCTCCCTTTCCCTCCCCCCCATCTTCCCTCCCTTTTCCTCCTCTCCCGTCAGCTCCCCTCCCTTTCCCTCTGCGCCTGTCTCCCCTTCCTTCCCCCACTTCTATTTCTCTCTCTTTCCTTCCTCTCCTGCCTCTATGACTCCTGTGGAGCTGCCTGAAGGCGCCCCTGCTGCCCCCGGGACATTGAGCATCCCCTGAGCACCCGTTCCCACTCGTTCTGCCATCCGCCATGTGCCCCGTTCGCAATCTGCTGCGGATCCATGCAGAGAAGAGGAGAGGAGAGGCCTCCTCAGCCACAGGGTCCCAAGGCCCAGAGCAGCAGGCCCAGGCTCAGAATCTCACAAACATTTTAGGAGTACAGTTCTCTTGTGCTCTGGTTCTCATTCCTCTCATCAAAGCTATATTCAAACCCTGTCCACCAGACCAGACTCAAAGCTGTCTCCTGCCATTCTAGCCAACACCCTCCTTCCTCTTCTGCCTCCTCTCTCTATCAGTTGCCAAAGAAAATGTGTCTCATGTAATGAAAGGAATAGTTGCAAACAGAAACCAAAGCCAAAGAGTAGGTCTGGCAGCACCTGGGACTCAGCTCGGCCAACCCAAGGTTCTGCCCCGACGCTGATGGAGAACTCCCACCTTGACGCTGCATGAGACAGACACAGAGTAGGGTGGTCTCTTAAAGGATCAGGCAACATGAATTCATTCAATAAACAGTTATCGATCACTTACCACGTGCCTGGCACTAGACCAGTGTCAGGAGTACCATGATGATTAAATGTGGAATCTAGCCTAAATCACAGTTTTCAAAGAAGTGAAACACGGATGCATGTTAAACACACTCCCCCCCCCCCACTGAAACATCAGTGATATGCTACCACATTTGGATCCACAAAACACACTCCCAGCCTGGCCCCTCCAATTCCCTCCGTGGAGAATAGAAAGATAAACATTCTTTTATATGCAGTTGACATGATTTTATTTTCATGAACTAGGAGTGGCCTTAATAGACAACAGGCCCTGCTCTCCATTCACTGCCAGAAAGAAGAGCTACAGACCATTTATTCTGAAACCACATCCCCAAACATTTAACTGACTCAGAGTTCACAGTCCTATATGGCAGTTACCTTTGGCCTGTAATGACTAAACATATTTGTTACCTTCTCACCTCAAACTCCAGGATAGCACATTCAAGCATCTAGTTCCCAGGTGGTCATCCTGTAGTCTTCCTCTAGAAAAAGTCTCCTAGGACAGGCTGTGGAACTCATCTGAAAAACAGAAGAGAACATTTTGGGAAGAATTTTAGCAGGAGTGGTTGAAACAGAAACGAAAAGGTCTAATGAACCTTCTCCGAATATCCTCTGCCTCTAAGAATTCTGGTTCGCTAGTCAGGCACGGTGGCTCAAGCCTTGTAATCCCAGCACTTTGTGAGGCCAAGGATTGCCTGGGCCCACAGGTTCAGGTTCAAGAACAACCTGGGCAACTTGGTGAGGTTTCATCTCTACAATAAATCACACACACAAAAATTAGCTGGGCATAGTAGTTCCGGCTACCTGCAGGGCTGAGTCAGAAGGATCACCTGAGCCCAGCAGGCTGATGCTGGGGTGGCCATGAGCGTGCCACTGCACTCCAGCCTGGGTAATGGAGTGAGACTCGAACTCAAAAAACAACAACAAAAAAAACCAAAACAAAATCTGGTTCACCGAAGTTTTCTTATACCCTCAAGGGTTTGTAGTACCCCGCTCAAAGAATTACCCAGAGCCAGGCTCGGTGGCTCAGCCTGTAATCCCGCGCTTTTGGGAGGTTGGGGTGAGTGGATTGCCTGAGCCCGCGGGTTTGAGACCCGCCTGGGCAGCGAGACCTCATCTCTACAATAAATCAAAAAATCAACTG